GTCATGGAAGAAGTACAACCAGCATGCTCTTTAGAAGCAAGGATGGTGAGACTTTGTCTCATGTACATTGGATACATTATTAGGACAGACCAGTTCCTGGAAAAGAACATTATGCTTGGTACGGTAGAAGGGCAGGGAAAAAGAGAAAAACGATTAACAAGATGGATTGACACAGTGGTTGCAATAAGCTCGAACAAAAATATTGAGAATGGTGTAGGACTGGGCGATCATTCCTTCTGTTTTACATAGGGTTGGAACTGACTCATTGAGACCTAACAACAATAAAATAAAATAAAACATTACAATTGGTGTTAACAATACATGTTTCTAAATTTTGTTTATGGAAATGTATTTTTACTAGTAACATTTGATGAATAAAAAAAATGAAGAAGTAGTTATCTTCAACAAAAGCCCTATTCAATTCTACAAGTGCTATGGAGTACCATCATTGGAAAGAAGCAGTAGGATTATAAAAGTGAAAAAAAGTATGAAACACATTATTCTATTAAAAATTGTTATGAGAGATAGGATAACATTCATGAGAGATGAGATTATTCACCATAATTGTATTTAATTGACCTCTTGATAGTGAATCAGTTGAGTCCAGTAAGTTCAGCCCACTGTCCTGTACTAAATACTAGGAATTCACAGAGAGTGAAACATGCTCCATTTCAAAGGCACTCACAAATACTGAAACATTACATTCACATCCAGATAAGATTACACATATGACAATATTTGTAATCTTCTAGTGGGTTTCAAAAAAGTAAGATCACAAGGGACTTCTGATACTATGGCAGTCTATTCAGGTGTGCTGTACTGAAACTGTATAAAAAAGACATGATATGACAGATACTGAGCAAACCCTGGAATCCTGACTCTCTGAAGAAAATAAAGATAAATGAGCCCAACCCTGATAAAGAAAATAAAGGACAGAACCCACATACAGATATTAAGCAGATTAAAGAATTTTCTGATGAACAGCCCTGCTTACACTAAGGGCAAACTCCAGTGGCTGACTATGAGAAAAATGGGAGCTCCCTTGCTTCCGTACCTTCCTTTGAAGAAAGGTATGACCAGACTCTACCCTTGTACACCTTCTGGTTGGTTGCACTCCATCCATATCTCCAGGCTGTGAACACAGTCTGAAAGATGGGCAAACCAGGGAGGACTACCACACTGCACAGGAGGCTGGTGAAATATGGACTGAATTATTCCTAGTTACCCACAACTCCTGGTGCTCAGAGGGGTCAGTAGCATATACATTCCAGGACTTGGCAGTGATGGAAGCCACAACCCCCATTTGACAGTGGTGGAGATCCCCCTGAGCATCCTGGGACTGATAGCTGGTGCTGGTTTGGGGCTTTGTTCTTATTTTATTCTTTTTACATACCACCAGTGCAGAGACATAGGATGTGAGATGGGGTGAAATCATCCCGAATCCCTTACAATACTCTGAATAGAGAAGTTATCAACCCCCACTGTCACGTAACTGTGGCTGAACTCCTACTGTGGGCATCCAAAGTGGGACATTGATAAACTCACACACTGATAACTGAGAAAGAGAAGCAGCTTCTGCTTCCAATTTTGTTTTTATTTCTTTATTTTGGTTGTTTGTTTTATTTGCTCTTGTTGGCTTTATTTTTTCCTTTCCTTGGTCCTTTTTTGTCTCACCAGAGGGAGACAACTACACTCACTTGGCCCAGCTACTTCTGTATCTCCAACAGCTACACTTAAGGGATAAACGCCACCACCTACTCCAGTACCATCTGATCATTTAATATACGTAAATACAGCAACAACAACAACAACAACCCCCAAACCCTGCAGTGTCTCAGAGGTAAAAATTTATTACAGCTTCTATGAAGAAACAAGATAGAATGCTACAGACAAGTGACAAATATGTATACCCAAAAGACCTTACTGAGAAAAAAAAGACATTGGAATTGGACAAGGAATTCGGAAGACTAATCCTTAGATACTTCCAACAGTTGGAGAGAAAGGTTGAGAGAGCTATGAAAAATTCAGAAAACCTAAAGAACAATTCAGGAAAATACTAAAAGAAAAATCTGATAAAATAAATGAAAAATTAGAAACCATAGCAAAGAGCAAATAGGCATCCAGCAGATTAATGCTAAGCAAGAGTACTTCCCCTCTGCCATGCACACAGGAATACTTCTCTCTCAGAGGCTCCCAGCCTCTCAGTTATACAGCCCTTTGGCCTCTGCCCTGATCACACTAGTGTTGTAAAGTTCTTTTAGCACCGCCGATAAATGCACAAAAGGCATTCCACTCTACCATAAGCCTCAGCCTGAAGATACTAGCATCTAGCACTGTGGGCCAGCAAACCTAGGTCCTTCAATTAAGTGCTTGGAGGTACCCAATTCCCAGTGACGCTCCTGGCTACAGCTGTTCAATTTTTCTTGCTTTGTGTGTTGGGAACCCCATTTCTCTGTCTTGTGCTCCTTGGTTCTGCTGCTATCACCCTTGGACTGTGGCCACTCTTTTGCCACTCCTTTGATGTTCCAGCTATGTCATCTGTAGTCAGGAGGTTCAGTGCCCAGAGATCTTAAGGTCTAGATGATATACTCCACTCTTTCTCTCTCTTTAAAAAAAAACACAAAAACTTTTATGGGGGTCTCTTACATCTCTTATCACAACCCATACATTCCTCCAATGTGTCAAGCACATTTGCACATATGCCACCATCATCATTTTCAAAGCATTCTCTTCCCACTTGAGCCCCTGGTATCAGCTCCCCATTTCTTCCCCCTCCATCCCCAGTCCACCCTCCCCCTCGAGCCCTTGAGAAGTTATAGATTTTTACCCCCATAGCTTACATCTTTCTCCGTTGCCCCTCGCCCACTTTTCTGTTATTTGTCCCCCTGGGAGAGAGTTCTAGATGGATCCCTGTGATTGATTTCCCCTTTCTCACCCCACCCTCCCCTAATCCTGGTATCTCTACTCTCCTAGTTGGCCCTGAGGGGTTTATCTATCCTGGATTCCCTGTGTTGCAAGCTCTTATCTGTAGCAATGTGAATGCTCTGATCTAATCCGATTTGTAAGGTAGAATTGAGGTCATGATAGTGGAGTGAAGGAAGCTCCAAAGAGCTAGAGGAAACTTGTGTGTTTCATTGGTGCTATGCTGCACCTTGACTGGCTCATCTCTTCCCTGTGACCCCTCTGTGAGCATTAGGCATTGGATCTCCACTCCATGCCCCCGCCCCTGCCCCATTCACCTTGGGTATGGTTTTGTTCTGGGTCTTAGATGTCTGATATCTGATCCCATCGACACTTCATGATCACACAGGTTGGTGTGCTTCTTCCATGTGGGCTTTGTTGCTTCTGAGCTAGGTGGCCGCTTGTTTATCTTCAAGCCTTTAAAACCCCAGACGCTATATCTTTTGATAGCTGGGCACTACCACCTTTCTTCACCACATTTGCATATGCACCCATTTTGTCTTCAGCGATCATGTCGGGAAGGTGAGGATGCAGTACATTCTTGACTCTTTCTTGGAGGAGTGAGATTTTCCTTCTTGCCTCTAAGATGGCTCATTTAAAACCCAGCAGGAGGGCAAAGCTGACCAACTCTTGTTAGCATTGCAAATACTCTATTGGTGTGGTTCCACCCAGTTCAAGCATAACAATTATGAGAATGGCATAAGATTGGACAGTGTTTCACTTTGTTGCACTTAGGGTTGTTATGAGTTAAGGCCAATTTATTGACACCTAACCCCCCCTCCCCCCCAGTCATTTGCTTGGAGTTACAAAGACTATACCTAGAAGAGCAATTTCAAGTAATTCATTGCGCCACAATTTACTGGCAGAATAAGCCTAGGATGAGGAGAGCAGCATGGCATAAGGCAATCTTAGTGTTTAGATTTCTAAATGCTGTGTTTTTATCCCAGATATATAGTTTTTGTTAACTACTATTTTCCCTCCCTGAAAAATGAAGACAATAATATTCACTAAGCATGGAAACATTTAACTGAGATAATCTGTATGAAGTGCCTCACATGTAGTAGGTGACTGTCTTAGCTATCTAGTACTGCCATAACACAAATACATGTGGGTGGCTTGTATTTATTTTCTCATAGTTCAAAGGGCTAGAAAATGGAATTCAAGGTGTGTCATTACGGGGAAGTCTTACTTTTTTATTTCAGTTTTTGCTGCTATTATTGCTGCTATTATTTTTGCTAGGTGCCCTTCAATCACTTAGGACTCATAACAACCTTCTGCACAACAGAGCTAAACACTGCCTCGTCCTGCCCCAACCTCAGTGTTGTTATGTTTGAGCCCACTGTGGTGGGCACTGTGTTGATTCATCTCATCCAGGATTTTCTCCTTTTCACTAATTTTCTATTTTAGCAAGCATAATATCCTTTTTCAGGATAATATGTCCAAAGTACATGAGATGAAGTCTCATAATCTGTACTTCTAAGAAGCATCAGGTTTACTAATCAGTGATCTTTGAAATTTGGGGGCTTGTAGCTTCATCTGCACCTGTCATTAAATCGTGTCTGTCTTCTCCTATGTCTGCACACACATACCTGTATCTATTCTTAACTTTTAATATTCATAAGTGATGAGATTTTTTTGGATCTGTCATGAACTGATATGACCTCAAATGATTGATTGTATTGTATCACATTTCATTATACAAATGATTATGTTACAACTTATTATATCACACAAACATATATAGTATTTAGAATTCCATCAGATATTGCTTGGGAACAGATTCAATTCATAGTAGTATTTAATAAATGTTGACTCTCCTTAAACCACACCCCAGGACATCATGTTTCTGTAGAGAGTATGGCTTCATTTTAAATAAGACAACAGCATTAATTTTCTCCAGCTTTCTCAGAACCAGGGCCCATATGTGTAAGTTTGCTAAGGACATTTCTAGTTTATGCTTGTTGTCCCAGCATACTTATTAACGACATCCCATTCTGCACACAGAAGTTTTCCAGGATAAACAACAAGTCAGGATCATCCTATCTAGACGTTCGCAGAGTCTTCCTCAGGGCATCTTTCAGTTCCTTGTTCCTCATACTATAGATCAATGGGTTTAAAATAGGGGTGATGAAAGTGTAGACCACGGACACCATCCGGCCCATCTCAGGAGAGTAGCTGGAACTGGGGGACAAGTATATGAAGCTGGTGCAGCCATATTGCAGGAGGACCACGATGATGTGAGAGGAGCAGGTGGAGAAGGCTCGGTGGCGCCCTTCTGCTGACTGGATCCGCAAAATGGCGGCCACAATGAAGACATAGGAGATGGAGATGAGTGAGAGGGGGATACTGAGAACAATGAAGCTGATGATATAAAGAGCAGTTTCATGAACATGTGTGTCTGCACAAGCCAGGCGCATGACTGCAGGCATGTCACAATAGAAGTGGTAGATCTCATTGTTGTTGCAGAATGGGAGATGGAAGATTAACATGGTCAGTGGCAGTGATAACAGGAACCCCAGCACTAGCGACCCTGCCACCAGCTCCACACACAAGGGCCAGCTCATGATGAGGGTGTATCTCAGAGGGTAACAGATCGCTACAAAACGGTCATAAGCCATGACTGCAAGCAGGACACAGTCAGCACCACCCAAGAAGACGAAGAAAAACATCTGGGCGCCACATCCAGTGATGGAAACAGAGGTTTTGCCCATCGACAGAAGGTTGGCTAAAGCCAGCGGGGCGATAGAAGTTGTGTAGAAGATTTCCAGGACTGCCAAGTTAGCCAAGAAGAAGTACATGGGCGTGTGGAGGGAGTGGTTGACCTGGACGATGCCTGCGATGGTAGCATTTCCACAGAGGCTGGTCAGGTACATCACCAGGAAGGCCACAAAAATCACCGTCTGCACCTCGGGGTGAGTTGAGAATGGGCGGAAGAAGAACTGAATCTTCAAAGTTTTATTGACTCCTTCCATGAGTAGCTCATTGGACCTGCTAATAGGAAAGAGGGTAGCTGCCCCTAGGCATCTTTCCTTTAAGATGACCCTTTCCCATGCCCTCCATGCCAATGTTAGAGCCCTTTCCTGAGGTATCTACACCTAAGGGCATACTTTCATGTTAAAGGTTTGCCACCCTATCACCTTTTTGCCACCTAAATTTGCCACCCTATCACCTTTATATCCCATCCCCAAAGACTGAGAAATTCTAAGTGGTGGGAACTTTAATGAACTCTTATCTAATGCCAGCACCAACCTTAGCACAGTGCCTGATACAGCAGCGTTTTCAAGAAATATTTTGTTGGGTATATTAATAAAGTCAGCTTATAAAAGTTATAAAGTGGTTAAAATAGAGTATCAATTCATTTGTGATGCATGGAAATAGAAACTTCAGGAAAGTGTTGGGAGATAGATGTCATGATTTAAAGACATCCAGGACCTGAGGTCCTGAGTGATGTCCAAAGAGTCTTCATAGATGTTTGAGGGATCTGCAGTCTTATGCCCTTGCTTGTCAGTGGGTAAGAGCCTAGTTTCATGACCGAGACAGTAACCTGGGATCAAAACAACTGATTTAAAAGAAGTTACTACATTCATTAGGATTTTAGGGATAAAATGTCTCAGCGATGGCTTCTGTTCATATTATCCTCTTCAGTTACCAACTAGTTGGGCTACATAAATGCATCCCACCATGTAGGCATACATCCACCACATTTCCTCAAGTTGCTTATTTCTCAATACAACTGGTAATTTGCATTGTTTCATTTCCTTACAAGGTCTAGAAAATGAAATATGAATAAATTTTGAAACATCCAGAATAAGAACAGGAATTTCAAGCACTACAATATCCATTTCATTGCATTATTGTCTTTGGCCCTCTCCATAGTATCACTTAGAAGCAACTGGGAATGGGAGTGGGGGAAGGGAGAAGACATCTGGCCTATGAGTGAATTTACTTAAAAAAAACAGAAGCATGCTTCTTATTTTTGCTAGATACTAATGACAGGACTGATAGAGCTGGTGGCGCCGTCAAGTCCTTCCTTAGTCCCTAACTAAAAAGGTTGGATTTTCAAGGCCATTGAGTGAACTTGGCTGGAGAAAAGACCTTGCCCTCTGCCATTGGTAAGGATTATAAACAAGAAAATCCTATGAAGCAGTGCTACGCTGTCACATGGGATTGCTATGAGTCAGAATTAATGTGAGGACACACAGTAACAGCGACAAGGTAAATATGTAAGTTAGATTCTATCTGGAACCTGTATTAACTTTAGAATACATGGACTGCTTTTGTTATTGCACACAGGAAGTGAACCAGACAACTTTCAGAAGATAGGATGACAAAAAATTGAATCAAATGTTGGGTATCATGCAGACAAATAGCGGTGTGCTTTGCTGATTTCATTCTTTAAGTAAAACTGGAGGGGTCACTCTGTGTATTTGGATCCTCGTGTGCTTCCTAAACTGGAACATGTATATTCTAGAATCTAGAAGGTAGCCAGCATGCTCCTTAGAAACAAGAATGGTGAGACTTCCCCTCACACACTTCAGACATATTATCAGGGGAAATCAGTCCTTGGAAAAGGACATCATGCTTGGTAAAGTAGACTAATCCCCCCCACCCACCCAAGCAAAAACAAAACCTTACTGGTATGGAGTTGATACTGACTCACAGTGACCCTATAGGACAGGGCAGAACTCCACCTGTGAGTTTCCAAGACACAAACTCTTTACAGGAGTAGAAATCTGTCTTTCTCCTGTGTAGTGGCTGGTGGTTTTGAACTATTAGTGTTGTAGAACACAGCCCAACTCATAACCCTTGTACCACCAGGGCTCCATAGAAGGGCAGCAAAAGAGAGGAAGAACATGGATGAGATGGATTGACATAATAAGTTGCTGCAATAGGTTCAAACAGAAAACGAGAATTATGTGAGCCTGGGTGGTGCTTCCTTTTGCTTTGCGAAGAGTCGCTGTGAGTCAGAACCAAACTGAAGGCTCCTAACAACAGAAGGTACAATGCTTCTCCCAGGAAGGATGACGTCACATGGAGACAGTGTAAAGCAGAAGGAAGGCTTGCCTTAATTTGGGGTGTACAAGCCATACGATTTCAGAGAAATTTCTTGTGACTACTCTTAAGTCCTTCGGTATATAAAGTATTTATCTTGCTAATTAGAGTAATTAAATGAAAGCTTTAGATATATTGGTTTACACCATAGGTTGTCTATTACTCAAAGGAAAATACAACACTCTAACCTCCCAACTGCATGATCTTGATTTAAATCGCTCCTTCTTTTTCATTCCAAAGAAAATAAGTAAAGTAGTAGGTATCCTCTTTTAAGATAGGAATGACCCAGAGAAATACTCTCAGGGGAACAGCTAGTTTTTAGAAAGATGGTTTATCACCTTTTGCGCATGTCCACTGTAGCACTTTCCACGTTCTTTGTCCTTAATGAAATCCCTGTACAAGTTGGCTCGTGGCCTCAGGAAAGTCACAGATACCCACAGAGTCAGGAGTTGGCAGGTTATCTGTTCTCTTTCTTCCAAAGAAATGGCAAACCCAAAGCTGCTTTCGCTGGCAATATTAAAGAATTCATCTCCGACATGCGCACAGTGCGCTAGGAGACGGCAAGATGATTGAGATGGAGCTTGCTCTCTGGAAACAGGACTCCCGCCATTTCCCTTCATTCTAGGTCTGTTTGCAAGATCTCTGTGCCCTCTCTTGTCAGTTTCTCTCAACTTACCTTATAGGCAGCATTTAATCATCGTGGAGGAAAGGTAGATGCGAGGAATTTCTGTTTGCAAAAAGTCTGCAAAGAAAAGAGGGAAAATCTGAGTAGATTTTAATGAAATCATTAAAACTGTCTCTTCAGTTATGCAGCAATATTTTTGGGTAATGACTATAATAATATATATATACTCATAAGTCTGTATATATATATATATATATATATATATATAACATATACATTTGGTAAAAGTAAGGATGTTTTTAAGAAAGGCGGCACAAATCAGGCTATTTTGGAATTGAATGATGTGAGTTCAAATCGAGCTTTGCCATTTATGTCAGGCCGGGTTGCCTAGAGAAGCAAATCCAGAGACATTCATATGTTTGCAAGAGAGAGGTTTATGTAAAAGAGAACTTGTATATTGAGAAAACATCCCGGCCCGGTCCAGATCTAGTCCATAAATCTGATATTAGCCCATATGTCCGTTACTAGTCCGGAAATTCCTCTTTAGACTCATGCAGCACATGTAATACTACTGAATGCAGAAAGATCACTGGCCGGTGGGGGAAAAGTCTTGTGGATCCAGTGCCGGTGGAAGAATCTCAGTACTGGCAAGTCTCCACTTGCTCTCCCTAAGGCTCTATTATCACCTCACTATTTTACAAGATTTTTGCGAGTTGCAAACAAAATCAAGTCTACAAAAAAAGTAGACTTCCAAGTCCATATCAAAGAGTTAGTATATTGATTCATTGATTCCTTCATAATTTATGCTGAAATAGGGTAAGTTAAATTGCACAGTAAATGGATTACCTGGAAGACCTGTTTGATTTTTTTGGGGGGGTGGGAAGGATTTTATGTCACATCTGATTACACTACTGGTTGTATATTATCACCTTGTACTTTAAATCTTTCTTGAAATAGGGTAAAAAATGACCATTCATCTACTTACAAACTGACTTATATTAAAAGATAGTTTACATAAAAATTTTTACCTGTGGAGGGAGGGTGGGGTGGAAAGGGGGAACCGATTACAAGGACCTACATATAACCTCCTCCCTGGGGGACGGACAACAGAAAAGTGGGTGAAGGGAGACTTTGGACAGTGTAAGATATGACAAAATAATTTATAACTTATCAAGGGTTCATGAGGGAGAGGGGAGGGGGAGGGAAGGGAAAAAAGAAGAACCAAAGCCCAACGGCTTAAGTGGAGAGCAAATGTTTTGAGAATGATGAGGGCAATGAATGTACAAATGTGCTTGACACAATTGATGTATGTGTGGATTGTGATAAGAGGTGTATGAGCCCCTAATAAAATGATTAAAAACATGTTTTGACCTTAAGTGCACTTTTATGGCCTATTTGACCAGCGTGGAACATGTATTAGGACATTTCTAGACTCACTGGAAGAAGGACATAAATCTTAACTTGGGGGTTTGGGGTGTGGCATGACCACAGAAAGGTCATTGCCAACAGCTATCATTCATAGGTCTAAAACCCTGCGGGAAGCACAGGTATTTGTGGCTTCTGGAGACACTCAGATCAGCTACAGAAGAGTGAAGGCACTCTCCAGTGGTACCTATTCAAAGAAAATGTTCCAACATCAGCTACACACACACTCACTCACTAATGTAATTTATCCTCAAAAGACATTCTTAACATTTTGACATGTCCGAATAATCTCTTGTGAACACATTCTAGAAATATAACCATGAAAGGGGAGCCAAAGTTTTATTCTATTATGGCTAATATATTGGAAATTGCTGTTTCTGGAGGTCCAAATGGTAGCATATAGGCAATTTCACTCAGCTCAACATAATACATTTAAAAGTATACTTTGGGTATATCAAATGAGACATTTAGACAGTCAGTAAATAGATATTCATCTCATAATTATGCATAACACTTAGTGGGCAATTACTGAGATAAATATTGTTCCTGCTAGCTGCCATGGAATTGGTGTCTGACTCATGAAATCAGTTCCTTGCGATCCAGAGGGTTTTAACTGGCTGTTTTTTCAGATGCAATCTCCAGATCTTTGTTTCCCATCTGTTATAGTCTGACAGCTCTGCTGAAACATGGTGAACATCACAGTGACACACAAGCTTCCACTGACAGAGGTGTCTTTGCATGAGGTGCACACATTTGCCAAGAATTATATCCAGGTCTCAAGCCTGGAAGGTGAGAATTTGAACACTGACCCATTACTACCTCCATAAGACCCTGAGATCTGTATACCAAGCTTATCATTCATAGCCCTAT